TACTGGATCACTTCCTCGTCAAAGCAACATGGCCGACAGCATGCAACTCGTTTGAAAGACTACCAGATGACACGTCGATTCTTGCACGGAATTGCATGAAGTGGGGTCATAATGGTGGAAACGTCGAGGTGAATCGATGGGGAAGATATAGCGGTTATGGAGGCAGCCGAATACACAATAATGTTATTATATGGGAAAAGAAGTACTACTTTTCCAGCCAGTCATATTATTGTGATGACTATACTGGACCTACCTATGGAGCACTCAATGTTGGGGACATTTGGGAAATGTTTGTTCGTTAAAGTAAACAAACTGTATTGATGTCTAGAAGGTCTGAAGTCTCCTTCACGGTTCCCTGCGCCATCTTGAAAGGTAGCCGTGCCTTTGCATCGAAGCGGGACGACCGTTGAGTGTGTAATGATAGAAACCCTCTTTCACACCTACAGACAATTATTCACGGATATCTATCATTGCACGATAAACGGTTATCTCGCTTCGATGCAATGACACGGCTACTTTTCAAGATGGACGACCGACAGCGTGCTACTCCTTTAAAAGACTAAAAAAATAGAGATGAATGGTTTCGGGCAATACAAAAAAGAAACAATGACTGCATATCAAGAAACTGTACATGGGCGATAGCTTACATGCGACAGCTAGTTCTACGTTCTTTTTCCAAAAGTACGTATTTGGGAGAAAATAGTTGATAGATCCAAATTTCCACGCATCTAAACATCTATCTCCAATATAATCATACTCTGATGTTTTTATGCAATTTTGGAAAATATGAAGCACTGCAGTATTCATAAGTCATCAGTTTTGAATTTTTTTAATTAACTCTAAAGGCAACTATTTGACTGCGTTTCTTTAACATTGAAATTAATAATTAATAGTTTGATGATGGATTCGTCAGCAATTTTGTACGTGATTCGTTAGCAGTTTTGTAGTTTTTGTTTTGGCAACTGTTAGACCAAGAGAGACATGGGGGCGAGTATGGAGAGAGAACTTATTTAACGGGATAGAGAAGGCCTGAGCAGAATTTTTAATTTACAAGATGCATACTTAGTATATCACCACTGCTAAGGAGGATTATATTCAGTGAGAAGGACTCCAACAACTTAATAATGATTAAACAATAACCAAATATTATTGGACATCTTCTCCTTTTAAGCGATGTTAAGCAAAGAACATTTGTTGTTTAAATACATATTACAAAATGGAAAATATTAATTAGAAAAAAAAACGAGCAAAAAAGACTCTTTTTTCTTTTCCATTTCGGCGATTTAGGGCGTCAAGTTTGTTATGTCAATAATTCATGACAAAAAAATTAAATAGCTGAATTGGCAAATCGCACACTTTATCCGAACAGCAGGTTCATGACTAAATTATGTGAGAAAAATATTATTTACCTTTTGGTATCAAAGAAGGTTGCAATTCTCTTAATTTACCGTTAGCATAATAAAACACCATTCAGGTGTGTAATTCAACAGATTTTCCTAAAAGGTTTAGGAAACGGGATCCGTAACAGCTATGGCAAAATGTGCATCAATTTTTGTCTTTTTTTCGTGTGTTCACTACAGTCGTCATCTCTTTGTGAAATCCCAGCCATTCTCGATTCTCGCT